GGCACGAAGGCCAGCCCACGTGTACAAGGGTCACACAAATCCTAAAGTGACTGTCAAACGTCGCGTAGTTACGTAAACAAGGTATTACAACTTCCAACAGAACTTTCTTGCCACGATTCTTGCCCTCGACTGAACGTAACTCCAGATCCAGTTGAAGTTGCTGAAAAGACAAAGTACAGTCTTTTATTGTCATGGTAGCTGATGGCTGGCACGACTGGCTCGGCTATGTTGTGACGGCTGTCGTGAGAGGTACACCAAAAGGACACTGAGAATGTCGTTCAAAAGAAGAGAGGAGCAGTGTAATTCCTTGTTTATATGACCACGTGATGTTTGGTGGTGACTTCGGTAGTCGTGTTGCCCTTATACGCGTGGTCTGGCCCTCGGGTTAATGCAAGATTACATCCCTTCTTCACCTCGTAAAATGCGTGCGTTCAGCCAAACTTAGCGGCCTTTTGTACCAAATGGAATGTTTCGGTGCGCTTACATTGGCATTTAATCTTATTCGCTTCAATATCATTTCCACATTAATTAAGTAGTAGTATTCCTTTAGTAAGCCTTGATATATAACCGGATTAAATCTACCAAAATATTTTGGTCAGACTTCTCTGCATTTTGATTGGGTGTTTCTGACACTATGTAGAATACTTGTGTATTTTGTCTGTTGTTTTTTTGATTCTGGATTATCATGGCTCATCCGGTCGTCGACGTAACTTTAACTGCAAGCGTGCCACACGATTTAGTATTTGAGAAACACATAGCCTTTTTGAAGTCTTTTGAAAAAAACGGTGATCCGATGCTTGATTATCTTAGGTTGTCGGCCATTTACTGGTCACTTACTGCACTTGATTTGATGAAGAGCCTCGACGTTATCAATAGGGCGGCTGTGATTGAATTTGTTAAGGCTTGCCAAAATGCTGATGGCGGATTCGCTCCAGCACCTGGTCACGACTCGCATCTTTTGTCCACCCTCTCTGGCATCCAAATTCTTGCAATGTTTGATGAGTTTCGGTGTTTTAGACGCGAAGAGGCTGTTAAGTACATTGCAGGCTTACAGGTTCGTGGGACTGTTTTAAAGTTGTTTAAGTGCATATATATTGTCATTTCCTGTACTTTAGAATCCGGACGGTAGTTTTAATGGCGACAAGTGGGGGGAAGTCGATTCCAGATTCAGTTTCTGTGCTCTGGCTGCACTCAGTCTCCTAGGCGTTATTCCATTCGGTGTATGCGATTTCGCCCAACCTACCGAGGGCGTTGATATTCAAATGGCTGTGGAATACCTCGTTCGTTGTCAAAATCCTGATGGTGGTTTTGGAACGCGTCCAGGCAGTGAGTCGCATGCTGGACAGGCCTACTGCGTTATCGGTGCTCTCTCTTTGCTTGGACAGTTAAGGCAGTTGGACATTGGTAAGGCGGCTTGGTGGCTGGCTGAGCGGCAGCTACCCAGCGGTGGACTCAATGGCAGGCCCGGCAAACAACCCGACGTTTGTTATTCCTGGCAAGTCTGGATTAACTATGATGAGTCTTTATTACCGGTTGTCTTATTTCGAGGCAAAGGTGATTGTATAATGCGTTGGTTTTCGGATTTTGTGTTCAAGTTATGCCACAATTTTGGAGGTAGTCAGTCTCTTCCTTGTACTCCTTCTTTACGTGTTGGTGTTTGGATGACCCATTGAGGTAGCTTCGTTGCTGGGACATTTCGCTAAATCCATGATCATTATATAGGTGCTGTACCTGGCGGTCGATGTTCGACTTCACTAGTCGACTAGTCCTTCAAAAAACTGTCTCTGAAGGTAAACCTACGCGTTTAAAACATCACTTGTAAATTGAACAATTTTAATAATTGTAAGCACTTTGGGTTTCAGGTAGATAGTGACCCTTATGTTGGAATTAGGCTTCTGGGACGATGAAATGTTTTACTTATAATGCGTGCAGGGAATGTTCTTTGACTGTCTTGAATTGATGCAGTTCATTTACTCCAATAAACCAAGGAGGTGTGATTTGTTGACTGCATCGTAATTTAGTCATTTACATGAGCGAAATAGTAATCACTTTCTGACACAGCAAGTATTGCTGGTGGATTATTCCTCTGTCAATGTATCTCCGGTGTCTCAGTTTATAATGATACTTTTAAGATATTCTACCCCATCACTAGGTCTAAATAGGCCTATCTTTCGCTGATGAAGTTTTATTGAACTGTGGCAGGTGGGTCCTCGCTTCGCTCACAATCCTGGGTCGTCTCATTTGGATTGATGCTGCTGATCTTGCAAAGTTCATCTGTGCCAGTCAAGACTCAGAGACAGGTGGTATTAGCGATCGTCCTGGCAACGTCCCTGATCCCTTCCACACCCTTTTCGGTCTTGCTGGTCTCTCTCTACTCTCCAGATTAGGAGCCAAAATGGAACCTGAAATGAATGAGAATGTCGATGAGAAGACTCGCAATCCCCTTCCGGTGGCATTGCATGCTCTGCGAGAGGTTAATCCTGTCTTTTGTATGTCTCAGCACATTATTGACCGCCTTTCTATTAATGTACAGATTCTTTGACTAACCTTGTCCTTTTACCTCTTGTCTCGACTTACGCATTCCCATGTTTGATGATCTGGAAACTCAGCACAAACTGACGATTTGATTAGTGTTTGTGCACTCGCCAATGTGGGTGGGGTTTTTCTTGCTTCGGTGCGATGGGGAGGCGGGAGCAGCAAATACTGTCGTCTTGCGTATTTGTTTTCGATTTGCTGACGAACAAATCACTGATTAAGTTCGATTGCTTGATGAATGAGTTGGGGAATGAATTCGCAGAGGACTGAGATACAATGGAAGCCTAAACTGTGTTTATGGCTGCATGAAGCTGCTTTCTTGCGCACAAGGTTGGTCTCTACTACCTAAAAGTTGCTCAAAAGCGTCCCAACTTGAGTGCTATAACGAGGAATTGGGAACAATGCATTTGGGCCTACTACTAAGATATGGGTAGCATCTTCATAGCACTCTTGGAAATTGCCGATTCTGGAGGTTTGCAATGTACCTTGACAGCCTCTCGCTTAGGTTATCCATCTATGCAGTTTTGGACACAAAAACCTTATTAACTTCAGTAGCCATTGTTTTTCCGGTCTTCCTTTTTTTTGCAAACAGCGTTCTATTTCGTTCCCTCAACTAAGTTGGGATAAGCAAACTCCTAATTTTTTGTGTAATTTGGGCGATGAGTTTTACTGCCTGCACCACGTCTCAAAGATGACC